CATGTGTTCTAGGAGGATCACTCAGCACAGTGACATGCAGGGATGGAGGGGCCTCGAGGAGGCTGGAGCACCATCCCAGAGACACAGCAGGGCCTGCACCCTGGCCAGGGGCAGGAAAGGTCTTGGAGGCTGACTGGAGGGGGAGTGTAGTACCATGGGGCAAGGAGGGGATGGCTCTCCTGGTCCCTCCTGGCCTGGGCTGGCTAGGGAAGGAGGAAGCCCATGTTCTCTGAGGAAGGGGCCAACAAGGGGCCACAGTCCTCCATGCTCCAGCAGGACCCCTTCCTCCCCCACCCTGGGAGAGAGGAGACTTCTAGGGTAGCCAGTCCTGGCCAAAAAAGGAAACCAAGAGAAAGGGAAGCTTTCTGACCCAGAGCCACCAACTAGAGCAGGGGAAGTATAGTCAGTCTCTTGTGACACAGCCAGACAGCCTTGCAGTGGCTAAAATGACATAGGGCTGGGGGTGGAGGACAGGACATCAGCTGGGGCCCCATCTGTCAACTAGAGGGCCACCCACTCCCACCACTGCCCCCTGCAGGCCATGGGACCACTTCCACGGGACCACAGGACCACGGGATCAGCTTCCCACCTGCACATTAGGGGCCCTGGCCTGGCCCTCCTCAAAGGGTGCCCAGCTCTCCCTGCTGCTCTCAGCCCGGGAAGGGATCCACCCCCGCTAAGGAGGCGAAGGTTCCTGGAAGGGAAGCTGGTCAGAGGAAGGGCTTCTGCCCCTCCCCTGCCAGCCGGGCCTCGCTGGTGCTGGGGGAGCTCCTGCCTCCATGGAGAGTCTCTGCTAAGGGACAGGCCTCCTCACCTGGAGAACCCTGTGGTCAGGTGGAAAGCCCTGGTCTCCCTGGACCCGGCCCCAGCTTCCCATCAGGGAGCTGTGACATGGGAGGCCCTCCCTGCCTGCCCTGGTCCTTCTTCCCGACTGCTGGACTGGCTGTGGAAGGTCAGGTGGCCCAGCTCAGATGTTCCTTCCTGCAAGAAACCTTCCTGGAGCCCTCAGAGCCAGGCTGACTCAATGTCTCCCTCTTGGGGGCCCCCACTTGGCTCCTCTCCTCTCCCTGGTCCTAGTCGCAGGTTTTCGGGTCTGAAATCCTGACATGTCAGGTGCTTCCTCCTGTCTCTCCCCTCCCCCAGCTCATCCTGGCTTACCACTTCCTCCAGGAAGCCCTCCCTGATGCAGCAGACTGGGTTAGGTGCCTCTTCAACTCCCACAGCTGGCCTCTGTTACAGGCCCTGCCACATTTCATTGTAACTGCAGGCTGACCTGCCTGTTTGTCTCCCCACCTACAACAAGAAGTCTACAGACTTGTCTAGTTTCTCATCCCTGGATCCCCAAGCCCAGCGCTGGGACCAGCACAAGGTTGGTGGCAGCAAATGCCAAATGTCAAAAATGCTGAATTACTATGTCCACCCTTGAGACCACAAACCAATGAGCAGCTTCCTCCAGCTGACCTTCAGGCTTTGGCTCAGGAGAGAAAAAGACAGGAAGGAATACGAAACTCAAGGATTTTCCCTGACTTCCCAGGTTTCCATTTCTCCACACTGCTAACGTTTGAACAGGTCACCAAAGCCTCTGCCCATCCCAGACAGGCAGGAATCCCAGGGGGTTAGTGCTCTGATAAGTACAAGCTCCTCCCTCCACCTGCTTTGGACATTTGAGGAAACTGAGGCTCAGAAAAAGACAAGCACTTGCCCAGAGTCACACAGAAAATCAGGCCTGAGCTGAGACCAGAACCAGGCTCATGACCTCCCATCTCTCCCTACGCCACGGTCACAGCCTGGGCCAGCATCTACCCCACCCCAGGCTGCTCTCAGAATCTTCACTCTCCAGGACTGAGAGGCCACAGAGCTTGGCAGAAAGCTCCTGGTGACATCACTGGGCATCTCTCCCATCTCTCCCAGCTTAGGAAACACCCCCTCTCCTCCTGAGAATTGCCCACCTTCCCTGTTCTGCAGGGGAAGTTCACCTTGAAGGTGATGAGCACAGCTAAGTCCCCAAGGGGGCAAGGATTTCCACTGGAAATGCTGATGCTTGGGGAGCCCCAGCTATGACCTCATCCCCTGGAGGAGGTGACAACAACCCCCTGCCCTGGGGAGCAGCCCCATAATGGCTCCCCCAGCAGCAGCTAAGTCAACAATAACATCCAGTTGTTTAATTGGACAAGGAAGAGGGCAGAACTGGCTGGGCGGGTGGAGACTGGAGGCTGGGCTGTTTCTCACTGTGGACAGGCTGGCTCACCTCTGACACTGGGGGTCAGGACCTTCCTGGGCTTCTCCATCTCCCCCAAACAAGGATGCAACGGGAGAGGGATGTACAGCTTACATAGGCATGCCAACCTCCTGCCCTCACCTGCAACCCAGTCCCCTCCAGCCCCTGCTTGCAGGGAGGTCAGGCCCACGCATTCATATCCTTGACTGGCCCACGTGTCAGTGACAGCCCCTGGAGGACAAGCTCCAGAGCCCTTCCTGCTCTCCCGAGCTCTGAGGGTCAGAGACAGGTGCAGAGCTCAAGTCACCCAGCAAGTCAGTGCTGGCACATCCCTCTCTCTGTCCAGAGCTGCTCTGGGCCAGGACTCATCAGGCTGGAGAGGCATCAACCTCCTGACAAGTGCAGGCTGGGACCCTCCCAGAACTCCCCGATCTAATCTTTCTCTAGGGCTCAGGGGTCTAAGCAGCAGAAACTAAGTGACAAAGAAGAACCTTCCAAACCTATTCCAGTCCCCACACCTGTCCTGCCTTAAAACTAAAACCCCAATCTATGCCTCAAACAGAAGTGGCACCAGGACCACCATTATCCTTGATCTAGTTGTTCCTGGAGGCTACCACCCCCCCAAACCCCCCACTCACTGGTAGACAAGGACCTAGGCCTACACTACAGCAAGGCTGGAGGGTCCTCCTCTCACCCTACTCCTGGGTTTGCCCTGCCCAAGCCCATTCCTGTCCGACTGCCATGTGTCACCCCATAGGAAATAGAAGGCAGCTGTCAGCCAGGCATACCATCACCAGCTGGTGGTCCTGGGGGACAAGCGGATGGCAGGGTCTGTCTGGCCAGTGGGGCACCTGGCACCAGTGAAGAAGACCACAGATTGCCCTTGGACAAGATAGGTAAGGGGCTGGCGGACCCCAGCGGGCCATTACCAAGCAGAGGGCACGGCCATTGTGGCTACAGTAGAAAGCAGCGTGCAGGGGAACAGTAGAAAGCAGTGTGCAGGGGAACGAGAGGTGGAGCTGGGTTGGGAGCTTTGAAAGTGGGTAAGAGGACTGACAGCAGCTTTAAATAGCCTCAGGCTGGGGACTAAGTGCTGGAGATGGAGAGGGACACATTAAGTGCTAAGAGGTGGGGGTGGGGGTGCATCATGTGGGGGGAGGGGTCGTGGGAAGACAGCGGGATAGGGGCAAGTGGAGCCAAATGCAAGGGGTTTGGTGCAGGGGGAGATTCCAGAACACTCAGACGTGGCCATTTGTCCTCTTCAGAATGCCCAAATGCTGTGCTGTCCAGGAGAGCCGAGGGGACGGAGGCAAAGCAAAGATGCTGGGAAGGCAGAGGAAGCCTGGGCCGGAGCTGGTATGACTGAGGGGTGTGCAGGACTCCACCATGACTAGAGAGCCAGAGGTCCAGCTGCCCTGTTCCACTCTCACCAGGAATATCCCCGTCTGGGTAGCAGAGCTGGCCCCCAGAGTCCCTCCATCATGGCCAAAAAACTGCCTAAATCGTTCTCTCCTCCCTAACCCAGAACAAGCGCTGCTCCTTTGCCAGATCAGAGCTCCCTGTCTGCACTGCAAGCTCACACCCTGCGCAGTGACCTTGGGCCAGTCACATTCCCTCCGCTGCAGTCGCAGCTCCGGCCACTGGTTTTGTGCGTGGGATTTTTTTTCCTCTCTCTGCTAAGAATACCTGCCCCAGATAAGGCTCAGGCTCAGGCAATCCCTGCAAACCGCCTCAAACATCAAAGGGCTGGAGGGGGGGGTAGACCCAACCAGTCCCCCCAACCCCCACCGCGAGGCCACCACCACCACAGGGGGGCTGCAGGGCCACCAAATTTGGGGACAGAGCCCAGTCGGCCTGCGGGCAGGGAGGCATTTGTGTGCAATGCAGGGGAGGGGAGCTCAGTCTCTCGCGTCCGAAAGCCTCAAACCCCCACTTAGCCGGCTTTCTGTCCCATTGTACAAGGCTCTAAACTGAGGCGCCCCTGGGGGAGACTCTGGTCCCCCAGGTTCACATATCCACCCTGGTCTGAAAGCTGCACTCTTGCCCCAGCTCCGCCGCCTGGGGGTCCCAACGGCCGCGCCCCACCCAACGGGCACTGCCCCCCACGCTGGCGCCGATTCCTGGTGACAACTGCCACGTGCGGACAAGGGGGGAGCGGCTGGTCCTGGCATTGCAGAGGCAGCGCCCGGGTGCCCCAAGCCTCTGCACCGCACCGTGTCCCGGCTCGCCATAGGGTGCCCACCCCTTTACCCGGCCCGCGCTCGGGGCCGGGGCGAGGGCGGGGGCAGGCAGCGGGGTCTTTGTTTCCGCAGCCGGAGCGCAGCGGCGGCGGCAAGGGGTCCGCGCCCCCCTTGCCGGCCCAGCCTGCGCCGGGCGCGACAGCGGAGCCCGCAGCTTAGGAAGAGGGCACCTGGGTGGGGGTCCCGGCGGGAGAAAGGGTCCTGCACACAGGCCCTGGCGCTGGAGAACCGAGAGCGGCTCTGAGCTGAGAGAGGGGCCCGCTCCCTCCCCCTGCGCCCCGGCGCTGCGGCTCCCGGCTGCGGGCGGACTTGGAGCGACTTAGCCGGGGCTCCGGCCCCCGCCGCTCGCTCGCCGCAGCGCTACAGCCCGCTCCGGCGTGCCAGCTCACACATACACACTCACCTAGACCTGTACGCTCCCTGCGGGGACAGCCCGGGACCCGCAGAGCCGCGCTCACGCACTCCCTCCGGTGCCGCACACTCCGCACCCGCCCCGCGCGGCGTCCGATCCCGCGCGCCGCCAGCCGCGCGGCGCCACCTACCTTTCCAGACAGCGGAGACGCGGGGTCCGCTCCTCGGGTGGCCTTGGGTGGTGGCGGCCGTCCAGACCAGCAGCAGCAGCAGCCGCAGCGGGAACCCAAACCGATCCAGCGGGCCGGGGACGCGGGTGCCCGGGGCGCCGAGGGCGGCGCATCCGGACGGAGGCGGTGTCATCCCGCGGCCCAGGAGCGACAGCGGCGAGCAGCCTAGACTGAGCCAGCGCCCGACCGCAGGCTGATCCCAGAGCGAGGAGGCGGAGTCAAATGCCTGACCCCACCCCGCCCCTCCCCCGCCCCGGCAGCCTTCCTCGCGTCCCGGCTGCGCAAGGGGCGTGCAGTGCCCACCGCCCAGGGAACCTTCGCCATCCCCTCCCCGGCAATTCCACGGGGAGAACCTGGGCAGGCGGGGACAAGACAGACTTCTTGTCTTCTGTGATCAGCGGCAGGCCCTGTCCCCTCTCAGGGCCTCAAATCCACTTCTCCAAGCCCATGAAAGGATTGGCCTAGAACTCAGGGAAGACCTCTTCGAGGGCACGGACAAGTCTACTACCAGCAACCTCGAATGGCCAGCTAAGTGGGTTGGACCCGAGGGCTGTGGTTCTCAGAAGATGGGCTGGTCTGAGTGGTCACAGCTCCTTCTAAGCCTACAAGCAGGAACAAGATACCTTCCCCTATGGTGGGGGGGGGGACGCAGAGGGTCAATGAGCTGCCGGGAGCACTCCGCACCCCATCATTGCTCTACTGTGAGAACACTGGGGATTTTCATCTTTGCCTGGCTCCCTCCCCTCCCTTCTCTCTTCTCCCCCTTCCCCAGCCAGCAGCCTTCTGGGCTGCCTCCCCCCAGCCAGCTGGTGTATGCTCAGAAAATCCAACTCATTTCCATGTGAGTGGAGGGGGATGTAATGAAGAAGGCCCCTTCCCCAAGTAGAAAGAGAGGGAGCATCCTGCATGCCCAGGACTCACCGTCCGGGATCAGCTTTAGGGGATCTCTGCCCACCAGGTGCATAGGGCTCAGCTCTGCAGGCAACCTGATGACCCAGTGGTGACTCCCTGCAGGGTGCAGGCCTAGTCCCCCTGCAGTCACCCGAGCAGCCCCAGCAGCTCTGACATCAGCTCATCCTCTCAGAGCCACATGCCCGCCCTTTGTAAAGGGGTCTCCTCTCCCTCAGGCCAGCAAGGGCCCAGACCCTCCACCTCTGGGCCTGAGGGAACCATGGATGGGAAATCCACTTATCCAGTGCTTACTGGATGCCTATCCCCAGGTAGGCTGCACTGAGAGGAGACAGGGTGAGGAGGAGGTAGCAGAGGTGCATGTGGGCCTCCCGGACCCACACACCTAGCTGGACTTGATTCACACACTGCAGACACCAGCGAAGACAGGCAGCAGGCTGCCCTGGCCCCAGCCCCAGCTCCAGCCCTTTGCCCTGCTCCTCAACCAGGGAAGTTTTGTTACCAGGAAGTTTTGCTTTACCATTCCATATTTTGTTCCCGGCTATCCCCTCCTTCCCTCAGTCCCAAGATACCCCCAACAGGCCAAAAGGTGAAATCAAGATGCTTCCAGAGATAGTGCAGAGCTAGGTTCCTGGTCCACTGAAGGGGGCCAACAGCTTCATGATGCCCAGAGGTACACTGCCCCCAAGACAGGCAGGCTGTGGACAGTAGAAGAGCCCCTCCCCAGGCAGGCACCCAAGCCTGTGGCCCTGAAGCCAGCAGCATGGCCTAGGCTAGCCTCCAAGACTGACACTGTTTCCAGCCCAGGGCCTCATATGCTGAGCTGTATGGCCCCCACTGTCTGCTCTCTCTGCAAAAGTAAGCAAATTAAATCACCTGCCCCTGCCTTTAAGAACTAAGAATTCGGAATTAATGATAACACTACCCACGTGCACAGCAACTCACAACACACAACCCACTTCCACCCACATTTTCCATTTCAGTCCTACATTCTCTCCCTCACTGAGGAGAGAGCATAACCTCATATTAGAGAAGGAAACTGAGGCACGGGGGGAGAGATCTGTCCAAGGTCAGCTGGGGAAGCCAAGAACCTGGGTTTTCTGACTCAAACAGCAATAGCTAATGCTGAAGTTACTATGTGCTGTGCGCGTACCATAGCCTTATTTTAACGCATTTCATCTTCACAATCTTATGAGGTAGGTGCTGTTTTTGGCTCCCTTTGCAAACAAGGAAACCAAGGTACCGAGAGGGAAGGTGATGTGCCCAAGGTCACACAGCTAGTTAGAGAAGGGCTGGGATTGAAGCTCAGTCTCTCTGTGCCCACAGCCTCATCTTCTGTATCCTAACACTCTCAAGGCAACACACTCTTTCACTGCTGCCTCCTGTGTGTGGCTGGAGTCCGGATATAAATGATCCTCAGAAAGACCCCGACAGGGCCCAGGTTACCAGGTGCTGGACAGGAAGGGAGACCAGGAGCTGGGCTCAGCCTCCCGAGCAAGAGAAGAGCAGATGGAAACTGGGGCAGATGTCAGGGGAATTTTTTTCCAGGCTGGGATGGGGATGAGGGGGAAGTGCTGAGGTCTGTCCCACCTCATGTCCCAGGATGGCCTCTGGATGAGGTCCTCCTTGCCCAGCTCAGCACCTGCTTCACCACCAATGGGCACCCCCGAGCCAGCCAATCTAGGGGCAAAGGGCCAGGGCCAGATGGCAGCCATTCCTGGTTGGCTATAGGCAGCCAGGGGAGGTAGAACCGGACCCATGATTTGGGCAGTAGCTCTGTGGAGGGAGAGGGCAGCTAAACTGTAGGCATAGAGGGGAGCAGGTACCCAGGGAGGTTGGGGGGAGCACAGGACCAGTGTTTGGCCGTGGACTTCCCTGCCTCAGGCAGCACAGGGAAATCCCACCAGATGGTATAGGTGGTAACAGGATCCTGCCTGTCTCATTAGAGGCCAAGGCTGGCTTTTTGGCCTGGATCAAAGACAGGGGCACTCAGAGCCAATGATGGGAAATGGACCAGCAGAGGAAGCAACAGATGTGGATGCTGACAGGTCTGAGGGGCAGGCACATTCCTGCCCTCCCCTTCCCCATGTGGGGAAGTGAGGGGAGGAGGCTGAGAGAAAGAAGTGATGCAGGGGCTCCTATCTAGGAGAAAAATACCTTGAAGGGGTCTTCCCTGTGGGCAGCTGCAGCACAGCCAAATCCAAGAAGGCCCCTTGGGGAATCAGAGAAACGGACACACACAGACCTGAGGTTCATAGCCCCAAAGCAGCAGCAGAGGCCCAGGGAGCCCTTTCCAGCCTTCCAAGCAAAGCCTTTCAGGGCCCTACTCAGCATTCCTCCACTCTCCAAGCTTCCTCTGACCACCTCCTCAGTCCTGATCCCATGGCTGCACTTGGTCTTCAAAGGAATGACCCATCTCTAACAAGGGGCCTGAGGGAGGTATAAGAATGAGATTCTTATAGGAGCCCAAGCCCACAACAGCCCCTTCAAGCTAGACCCACCCCTGCTATAAGGCATCATCAGAGCTTGGTGCCCACCTGGGCCTTCTGGCTCCTAACAACAGCAACTCTTACTGTCACCCCACCACCACCACCACTACCACTACCACTACCCACTGCAGGGGGCAGAGACCAGGGAGATCCTGAGAATAGTGAATTGGGCTGGGGAGGTGGGGCGGGGCTGGGGAACACTGGGAGGACACATGCCCTGTCTACAGGGCAGCTACTACTCAGCTTCAATCCGGGGGGCGGGGGGGAGCATGGTAAAGTACACCCAGTGACAGGCAGGGTGATTTTTCAAGAGAAGCTAAAAACTGATTTTTTGTTGAAACTCCCAGTCTTAAAATATTGGCAAATAATTCAAAAAGAAGATATTTATGGTCACATAGGCCATATCTGAGAATTCCAACTTACTTGTGCTCACTGTGTGCAGATTCCTGACTTTCTCACAGGCACGGGCATGGACACAACAGCTTTAATGTACTTGACCCAACTCTCAGGAGACCATGTCAGGGCTAAGGGCTGGACCAGGCGAGGCATGCAGAGGAAAGCCACCTCTGCTTGCACAGGCCCTGGCACCACACTTCACCCTTTCCTTGGTGTTCTGTCCACCCCTAAACCTCTGCCAGGACATTCCCCTCAAGTGCCTGCCCTCCCTACCTATCCAAGCCTGCCTCTTCCTCCTAGGCCAGCTCAGAGCCACCACCTCCTGGACGTCTGCTCAGCCCACCCTAAATGGAGAACTAATCAGAATTACCACCACCCTTCTTAGTCCTGAGAGTCAACACTTCCCAGCAGCATCCCATTGCTGTATCTCTGTTCTCTGTCCCATTCATTCTAGATGCATTTTTATTTGATTGGCCCTACCCTAAATTGCCAAGATCAGAGTCTGGCCAGCCAAATTGAGAGTCAAAATGTAAAAATCCACAGGGGAATATGCAGTGATGGAAAGGAGATTGGCAGAGAAGAGACAGACCTTTTCTCCTTACATCAAGGCACTCAGCTCACCTAAAAACACCAACAGGTCCCTTCCAGGGGCAGCCCAACATCCTTAGCCCCAAAACTCTGCCCACATGGCACTGGGCTTATGGTGGGAGCGCCACCTGGTGGCCACTCGAGAACAGAGTGGAGTCTTAGCGGAGACAAAATGTGTAGACATAATATACTGTACTCCCAAGCCTTTTTGGAGACAAACTCCACCTCCACCCCACCCTATCCCCACCCCCCAAATCCATCTCTGAGCCTCCATTCTCAGTGTCCAGGGCCTGAGGCAGAGCAGGATCTCGTGGGAGTCATGTGGAACCCATCTAGACTAACAAAGTCTCCTGACTAGATATGGCTGGGAGGCCAAAGATCAAGTCCCAGCTTGGCCACTGACCCAAGTTAAGCAAGGCCCTACCCCAGCCCAGGCCTCCATTTCTTTGTTTATGAAATAAGAAAGAGAAGCTAAAACAGCAGCTCTTCTTCTGCTCTATCTCCTATCAAAACCAGAGATGGACAAAGCTTTCTCATTCTATCTTGTGCATTTCCTTGTTTGTAGGTTGAAATAAATGCTTTTAAAACTATCTCTGCAGGGTGGAAGGCATCCCAGGACCCTCCCAGCTCTGATGTAGTCCTTCTTTCATGGACACAGTGATCCAAGAATCCCATTTCTTGGAATTAGAAGTAACTCTGAGATCATTCAGTTCAACCTGGGAGCCCCTCACCAGAGCCCTTATGGCGGTCATGCAGCCTCTGCTTACATACCTCCAGTGACAAAGCACTGACCCCCAAGGCAGCCTTGC